AGAATAATAAAATAAATCCTCTGTAAGGAAGATAACAAAATAAAGGAGATAAAAGTTGATTTCTGTTTGTGTGTAGAGGACATATTTTGTTAATTGTGAGGACTAAAGGAGCATTGCATCTTTAGTACTGAGAATGTTAACTTACACATACAGAGTAGGGCAAAAGTAGGTTTTCAGTTGTGAGGACAGGAAGCAGTTTATTCTTGTATAATTATTAATTAAGTAATTATTGTGTTATTTTCCATATGAACAATTGTAAACCTACCTTTGGCCCACCCTGTAGTTAGCACTCAGTACATGTTAGCTATTATGATTATTAACCCTTATAATAGTTCTGCAAGGTAAGAAATGGTATACCCTCTGCATAAATCTAGAAACTGAGGTACAAGGGCATAACTTGTACAGGATCACACAGTAAGTAGTAGAACTAGGATTCAAATCCATGCCTTTAACTCCAAATTTATATGCTTATCATATTGCCTTGATAAATTAGTGGAGAAGAGCAAAGAAAATTAGAAGAAAAATATACTTTATTAAAGAATGACTTTGCCCATTCACCATATTAAAATTTCCCTTTTTGCCTAGGTTTTTAATTCTCTAGATGTCTCTAGATTTGTAAAGAGATATGCACGTAATTTCATATATTATAGTTTTCTTGAAACTTTCATTTAAAATAAATAAGAAAAGCTCCTCCCAAGGTTTAAGAATTTCCCATTTCAAATCTTTATTCTAGAGCAGTGATGGCGAATCTTTTGAGCTTGGCGTGTCAGCATTTTGAAAAACCCTAACTTAACTCTGGTGACGTGTCACATATAGAAATTTTTTGATATTTGCAACCATAGTAAAACAAAGACTTATATTTTTGATATTTATTTCATATATTTAAATGCCATTTAACAAAGAAAAATCAACCAAAAAAATGAGTTCGCATGTCACCTCTGACACGCGTGTCATAGGTTCGCCATCACTGTTTTAGAGGCTTTGGTTTTGTTTCTGACACTCCCTGGAAGAATTCTATGCTCATGACCAGCACCACTGGATTTTTTTCTTCATGGTACTGTCATTTTTATCTATTGTTCCACTGGTGCCAATTTACTAGTCTACTGAAATTGAATGGGATGTTTTCATAACCAGAGTTTAATATACTTACTATGCCTTTCAGAATAAATGACTTAACAACTTCCCCTTTCCACCGCTCTGAGGTTCCAGAAGAATCAGTTGAGTAGGTGGATTAATTTATTCCTTCCTACTCTAGTATTTTGTGGTATCAATAAAACCATAGATACTAAAGCCAGTTTCAACAACTACCTGCTAAAAGAATAAATCCTTCTTAATAGGATGGCATTTCCATGCCCTGAATCGGTGGAGAAAAATCTGACAAACAAGGGAAGATTTGTGTAATCCTTTTCTATAAGAAGAATAGCCTTTACAGAGGGTGCACATGGGCAGAATTTTGCTAAACATTGAACTAACTAAGCAAAACTGAGTTTTTTTAAAGTTGTAAATGTGTAAAGTAAAAGCTCAAAGATTTTTGAGCTATCAGCTTTGGATAAACAAACATAAATTGTTTTACTAATTGGGAAAATTTATGCATAAAACTTTCTTAAAATATAAGCAGTAAGAACATAGTGAACTCTCTTGTTAGTTAACTAAATGCTCCATTGTGTATAAGAAAATACTGAGCAAAAGTCCTTCCAGTTTATTTTAATTAGCCCAGAACCTGATTATAAATTCATTCATCTGTGAACCTTAGAAGGGTTCTGAAATTTAAGGTTCTTGTTTTTCTCTCTATTAAGTAATTTTTTAAAATATCTAAGCTCAGCCAACTCAAATTTACTGTCAAGAGAAGATAAAGAATGCCTCTTTACTTTATAAAATCACTAACTTCTAGAGCAGAATGGACTTTAGCAGTCATGTATAGCAACCCTCTTATTTCACAGGACAGAAAATTAAGGCACAGAAAGATTGCTTTGTCCAAGTTCGCACTGGTAGGCAGAGCCAGGAATGAAATCCAGGCTTTCTGACCTAGCCCACTTTTCTTCCCACTATTCTTTTTCATAATTTTGAAAAATTGGGACGTTCATTTTTTTATTGTGTAAATACATTTAGCACATAATCATTAGATTAACAACAAATCTCTTTGACTAGTAAACACATGAACATGAAATAAAAAGTTTACGGTATTCAGCGACGAGCCTAGCTCCCTCAACTCCTGCCTATCCCAGATCCCCTCCTTTGCAGCAGACATTTGAAGGAATCAGGCCTTTTAAATAGACTGCTTTGGTCTAATAACATACCCAAGATGGCATTCTTCTTGGATTGCAGTCTGACCTGCCAAGGTTAGATATTGCCCAACAGTGGAAAAACATAAGCTGTGGAATTAGAATATGGAGAGGTTTGTGAATTGGATTTGAAAATTACCCAAATCCAAGTTATTTTCATTAATAGAAGTGTTTTCTTACAGCAGCACTCTATTACTCAGATAATGCCTTTTGTACAAGAGCCTAAAGTACTTTATAAGAGCCCTTGTGTATCCTCATGCCATGTGAAATCCCAGTCTGAGTATTACACAATTGTATACAACTGCTGTAAAGTCTATATAGCACATTGGCCAAAAAGAAAGAATTATGTTGCTGTTTGAGTAAATCTCCCTCTGTTAGTAGAACCATCAGTGTGGGACACCACATGGAGCTACTTCTCAGCCTCTGCAGCCTATCTCGTTGAAACCTCAGTGCCTGGTCCTGGATGGAGCACATCCAGGCATTTGGCCTGGAGAGTTACTCCCAGAATGGGCAAGCTGGATGAGGAGGTGAAAGGGGCTCCAGGGTGCACCTGCGCCTGTGGCCCTGCTCCCCCAGGTGAGGCTGTGGAGCAGGAAAGGCAGCAGGGCAGCAGCAGGCGTTCAGAACTGAAGCCTTCAAGGCCGAGGTACTGGGTCAATAGCCACACGCAGTAGGGCGAGGCAGCTCCCCATGTGGGGAGAGGTTGGAACAAGCTGCCTTCTAGACCCAGGAGGCCACACCTCGGCTTTGTCCCTGTTGAAAAGGCAAATCTCCCCCAGGGAAAAGGAAGGAGGGCTGAGATGCACGGGGCTCTCTCTGATACCTGTGTGTGCCTGAGCCTCTGACAGCATTCCACCTGGCCGGGGAGAGGACACAGGAAGTTTGTAGGTGGTTGAAAGAAAGAAGAGAGCAGAGCTAGGGAGAGGAAAGGCAAGGTTGGAGGAAGTTGTCTTTTTTTGAGAGAGTTCTCTGACTTCTATACTGTTAGACTCTTGAGATGTGGGTTTCATGTTTTACTCTGTGGCAGTGTTTTGTTTTCAGTGTCCCTGATGCTAACACTCTCCTGGAGTACGTGGTAAAAGTTCAGATTCCTCGTCCTCTGTTTCAGAGATTCTGCCTCCATTGGAAGTAGGGAGAATACTGCCTACTGAATACTGGGGTAGTTTTATTAAGTGCCAGGTGGGTTTGGGGGGACACTATCAAATCAGGGCTTGGGCCTTTACTTTCATCAGTTCTAGACGTTCTGCTCTAGATTTGTCCTCCATTGTAAATACAAATATCGAGAGTATCAGGGGCCTTAACTGCAAGTAGCTCATTTATATCAAAATTAGAGCTGTTTTTCAAAAAAGGCATGCATGTTCCTCTTCACTTTAAAACACTGGGATATTACTAATTCATAGTGACTATTAAAACATCAATGCTGTTAATCTTGACAAACAGAAGATATGTTATAATGGTTCTGTCATTATATTTGACCTGGACTAACACTCTGATTTTTGAAAATTATTCAGTATTTAGAGAGTATGGTAATAGGTAAAAACTATGTTTTACAGTTAGAACTTTTATAGTGAGGAACTAGCCATTGTTTCATCATCACAGTCATTTTAACAACTTAAAATGTAAGTTAAAATTTTCAGTGATAGTATTTTTTTCTTTTCAGATAGGAACCAAGGCTTTGGCCTTCTCAGCTCATTGGCTGGAGCAAACCATAGCATTGGATCAGCAGACCCGTGTCACTCAGAGGTAAGATTTTGCCTTTATCTTTTCTCCTCTTTTACTTTAATTCCTCCTTGTCATTATGAATCTTTACATCATTTATAATTTTTTCCTTTTCATTTAAGAAGTGGCAGAGTATATTAAAAATAGATAAAAGGAGAATCTACAGCAGTCCTCTTGTGCCTGTTACCTGTGAGAGGCTGGTTCAGCATCAGAGCCGTGAGCCTTTTAAGATGTTTGCAATCTGGGTGGTTCCATGTGTTCTTGCTAGCGTGTTTTTCAAAAAGTGCGAGGATTTCCTTGAGGCATAAAGTTGCCTCCAGATCTTTAAACATAAAATAAAATTGATGTTTCTTTTTCAGTACTTCCCATGTACAAGGCCCTGTATAAATCTGAGGCAAAGTCCTCCCCTCAGAGAGCTTAATAGGCTGATTTCAACACTCTGTCCTCAAGGACTTTGGTCCAAGTTTACCTTGGTCGACATGCTGGAACCAAGGGCACATTAGGGCCACATTGTGCTTCCAGGCATCTTTTTCATCAGTCTCTGAGCTGTTTATGATATGATCATGTTCATTTTCACATTTTGAATAAAGCATGGATCTTAAAAAACACACTATGTTTTAATAGTAGCAAAATCATGACACTTTCTAATTTTTTTTTTAAGGAAAATACTCCTAAGTTAGTGAATTTTTAGCCATTTATTTTTTTATGTGATGTTGAGCCTTCTTCATCTCTCCTTGTCTCTAGCCCCTAATATTGCTTCTCTAAAGCCAGCCCATGGGTGGAAGTGTGAGCCTTTTGGATTTAGTTCTGAAATAGCCTGCTATTAAAGTATTGCTTGTGTGTTGTGTGTGTTCCTCAACAGCAGCCCCGTTTGCCAGCAGCAGATAGGACTGAATCCCTGCTGGATCGTCGGAGTGGTGCAGCTAATACAGCAGATGCTCAGGTCGATAGCATTGTGGGTAAGTTCCTCCTTTGGCTGCTAAGAGACAGCTCTGTGGAATTTGGAATAGCCAATGTATCAGGAAAGAAATCATCTGGGTAATATTGACTTTATATATGGGCAAGGGAAGGAAGTTGATATGTGAGCCCAAGTGAATGTGAGCCTTGAGATGGCTATCAGAAAAAGGAGAAAGAATAAACACATTGCAAATCTGTATCATTTTTCTCTCTGATTCTCTTAGCAAGATCTTGATTCTGATCATCTAGCTAAAACACACAGGACCAGGTGGTGAAACAGCTTTATATCTCCATATTACAGTTTTTCTCATAGTATTTTACAGTAGTTAGAGTTGATGGTATCAAGAATAATATCTATACTAATAAAAGGGTAAAATGCTAATTAGGGCAGATGTCCTCTGGAAGACCTTCCGGATGTCCTTCTGAACAAAGCCAGAGCGGCTGCGAGGGCTGAGACATGGCTGCGAAGGCCTAGGTGCAGCTGCGAAGGGCCAGCCTCAGGCCAGCAGTGGCAGCAGCAGCGGGGTAATGGGGGTGGCGCCTTCCCCTGATCCACCAGGTCACCTCCTACAGAGGGAGTCCAGACTGCAGCTTAGGCCAGGGGCCAAGGCAGAGACGGTTAAGGGCGATCAGGCCATCAGGGGAGCAAGTTAGGGGCGATCAGGCTGGCATGGGGGCAAGTTAGGGTCAATTAGGCCAGTAAGGGGTCAAGGTAGGAGTGATCAGGCCAGCAGGGGGGCAAGGTAGGGGTGATCAGGCCAGCAGGCAGAGGCAGTTAGGGGCAATCAGGCAGGCAAGCAGAGGGGTTAGAGGTGATCAGGCAGACAGGCAGGTGAATGGTTAGGAGCCAGCAGTCCCAGATAGCGAGAGGGATGTCTGACTGCTGGTTTAGGCCTGATCCCAGCAGTCGGATATACCCCTAGGGGTCCCAGATTGGAGAGGGTGCAGGCTGGGCTGAGGGGACCCCTGTGCACAAATTTCATGCACTGGGCCTCTAGTAACCTTATAAGCCCTTTCACATCCTTTTAAAGTTCTTTTATATATCCTCTTTCTCACCTGGTAATTAAGTTTGGCGGAGAAGTTATTTTATGGAGATGATGGTGAGGCCCAGAGCAGTTCAATAATTCGCCTAAGGGTATCCAATAAGAAGGTCCTGGAACTGAAACTAGAATCTAGTCTGCTGTCCAAAAGCCAGAAAGCCAAGGAGCTTAGTTGAAATAACTATAAATATCCTTTTTTTAGGGAACTACTATAATCTCTACTTTCTCTTTATGCCACAGTAATAGTTGTTTGCAGGCCTGATCCACTGATGGATGTTAAAATTAATAGATGAAAATTTTAGAAGAAACATGACATTTGCATAGTCTAAAAGCATTTCTGCTAAGTTATTTATTTATTGCAGAGGAGAAATAGTAACTTTATATTAAAAAACTTACAGATACTACTTCAAGTGATGAAGATGACCTCACCAGTAGTAATAAGATATACTGACATCATCTCCCCATGGTCTGTACCAAACGGGCACTCACACTTGTGCTGTTTATGCCAAAGGTACATAATCTAATAATAATAAAACATTAGACAAACCCAAATTGAGGAACATTATACAAAATAACTGACCAGGACTCTAAAAGTCATAAAAGACAAGGAAAGACTCAGGAACTGTCAGAAATTGGCGAAGTCTAAGGAGATTTGACAGCTCAATTTTGTGTAGGACCCTGGAATAAAGATAAAAGGCTTTTAGTGGAAAAGCTGATGAAGTCTGCTTGAAGTCTGTGGTTTAGCTAATAGCACCACCCCATTATTAACTTCTTGACATTTATAATTATAACGTGGTTATATAAGATGTTAAAATTGAGGGAAGGTGGGTGAAGGGCATATACAATTTTTGCAACTTAAAAAATCCTCACCCAAGCCCTAGCTGGTTTGGCTCAGTGGGTAGAGTGTCAGCTTATGGATCGAAGGGTCCTGGGTTTGATTCCGATAAAGGGCACCTACCTTGGTTGCAGGCTCCTCTCTTACAGGAGGCAACCAATCAATGTGTTTCTCTCACATCGATATTCCTCTCTGGCTTTCTCTCTTCCACTCTCCCTAAAAATCAATGGGAAAAGATCCTTGGGTGAAAATTAAAAAATAAAAATTAAAAATCCTCACCCAAGGAAATATGTTTACTAATTATTAGAGGAAGAGAGGGGAGGGTGGAGGAAAGGAACAAGGGAGAGAGAGAAAGAGAAAGAGAGAGAGAAATACTGATATGAGAGAGAAACATTGATCGGTTGCCTCCTCTATGCGCCCAGACTAGGGATTGAACCTACATATGTGCTCTGATTGGGAATCAAATCCACAGCCTTTTTGGTGTACAGGATAATGCTCCAAGCAACTGAGCAACCTGGCTGGGGCTTTGTTACTTTTTTATAAAGCTAAAATTATTTCAAAAAAAATTTTTTTAAATTTATCTTTACCGTTGAAAGTATTAGAAATGTACTCTTTCTCCTCCCTTTGACCCCCTTTCACCCCACATTTGCCCTCTGCAAGGCCTACTGCATTATTGTGTATGTCCATGGTTATGTATATATGCATTAAATTCTTTGATTAATCTCTTCCTTTGCCCCCCTCCCCTTTCTTCCTTCTGAGATTCATTCTGTTCCCTGCTTCCATGTCTTGGATCTCTTTTGTTAGTTTATTTTGTTCATTATATTCCATATATGTATGTATGTGTGTGTGTGCACACACATACATACATATATACACACTAATAAAAGACAAACATGCAAACTGACCATACCTTTGCTATGCCTTAAGCCATGCCCACCAGCCAATCAGAGTGACTATATGCAAATTAATCCAAGCAAGATGGCGGCTGGCAGCCATGGAACTGGAGCAAGCAGGAGGCTTGGTTGGCCCAGTGATGGAGGAAGCCAAGCAGTGGTGGGAGCCTCTCCCTCCTCCTCAGCAGCGCTAAGGATGTCCGACTGCAGCTTAGGCCTGCTCCCCTCTGGCAAGTGGACATCCTCGGAGAGCTCCCAGGCTGCCAGAGGGATGTCTGACTGCCAGCTTAGG